CAATATTTAAACAACAACCCCCCTGCCCTAACATATAAACACACAAACACCTGTACATCTCCCACGCCCCCATACACACACACACACACACACCCACCCACCCCTCAATATGTGTTTATACAAGAAAGATTGGTTTGGGGTAATTGTTTCTTACATGCATGGTAGAAATGGAAAGTCTAATCCCAGATTCAGAAGCTCTGAAAAATCTGTATCTCATAAAGTGGAATAAATGTTACAGTGGTTGGGTCACACTAGGCATTTTGTAATCCACGTATTTAGTAATAAGAATGTACTCACATGTTTTATTGCCTGCATTTAAATTTTTTAAAAAAAACTGTGGTTTCTTAATTACTAATGGTAGACTCAGTTACATGAGTTTTGTGCTTTTTTAGCCAATCACTGTCTAACAATGCAATTCGTTTGATGGTATTCTTTGGTATGGTTTGTTAGTTTGCCTTTCTTTTTCACAAACAATAGAATGCAGTGAGGCTTATTTAATCTTTTTCATATTGCATTAAATTTTTAAATGCATTTTTCAGTATACAAATGACTAGACTAATAATCAGGGCATGAATGGCTTTAGAATTTTAAATTATGCCCTACATTGATCAAACTTACGACTGAGCTGTTTATTTTATCCAGAATACTCTTACAAAAATAAAATGACATTAACTGCATATTCTAATTCTAATATTTTTTCAAAACTACTTTTATTAACCTTTGCTTTGAAGAATTTTTTTTTAGTGGTTTTAATGATACTAAGTGGTATGTCATTATTTCATAGCATGGTCACCAACCAATCTCTTCTGTTGTGAGTGCATTGTTTTTTTCATATAAAATTTAATGATTTATATACAAACTTTTTCATATCTGCACATGTGAGCTTCAGTTTCTACATAGAATACTTCATGTGTCTTAATGTTCCTGAGGGGGAAAAGAATATTTAAATCATAATCTGTTGTGAAGATCGATGGATTATGAGGATCTGATTAAGTCAATCTTACTAAATTATTGCTGCCCTATATACATAGAAAGGAATAAATTATGAACCATCTAATAAAGAGATATAATTTTATGAAAAGAATTCTCAAGACATCCATAAATCACAAGAGCAAAGCTAGAACGATTCCCCACCAAAACCCTAAGGTAGAATTTATATTTAATTTATTGCGTACATTTTTTAATGCTTTGGCAGAATTTTTCGTATGAGGTTTTGTTTTCATTTTTTATTCCAGCATTCATAAAAATCAATATTATGAAGTTAGATCAGCAGAAAAGCCTGGTTTGGGGACATTTTTTGAGACTACAAAGCTATTTTTAAATGTACATTTATTACATTTTAAAGGCCATAACGCTTATTTAATATAATCTTGCCCCACCCATATATCATTTTTCCTCTCTTTTCCATTTTGAGAGTTATATTTTACAGGACTTTCAAAAAAAATTAGCTGAAACAGCACTCATATAAATCTCAAACAGGGGAATAAAAGTCAGCATTCTGTCTCCATTAAAAGTTGTTGATGTGGAAATGTGAGGTGACAGTCCCTGCAATCTGTAGACTGCCAAGATAATGGTTCTAGTAACTTCATGTTGTATTTACACAAATCATAAGTACATAGAGACATTGTTATATATGTAGACATCATCTTCCTTCAAATGTAGGAAGTTATTGACTATAATTGGTCTGTCCCATGCCTCACTCCCACTTGTTTATGTGTATGTTTTGTAGTTCACCTAAGTATCTGTAATTCTGTCTCTCATCCACTCACGATTCTAGTCCAAGTATGAGATAAGCAGCATGCCACTCTCTTGCCTGTAACTTCCCCACAGTCTTTTCCCTCTTACAAATGTGACCTGTAGGTACTTGGAGTGAATTCTTTTGACAAAGTAGAACATGTATAAGAAGAACATAGAAATATAAAAATTCAAGGAAAGCTGCTTTCCAATTCTACTTTCAATGCAGAATTATGTAAACATTTTAAACTATCACTATTTGGGGACAATTTGAAATACATTTATGCCATCTCATAGTATTTTTAGGCCAAATTGTGTTGGGTGAACATGACTATTACTAAAATACCATGAGATAAACATTTACTTACTAATTGGGGATTTTGCTCCCTCCTTCCCCTGACATCCACTTTCGATTTGAGCCATATAAAGATGAATATCTTTTCCTTAATTACAATAATAAGTTTGAGTAGAATGGAAACAACAAGTACTCCCTTGGAAAACAAACCGATGACCATGGCAGCCTCAGCAGTTGCTGCAGGTGGAGCACAGGGTCTGTCTCTGCCCCTCTGCCTTGATTGGCTACATAGCCTGTGCTGGTACTATAAGGCAGGAGGGGAGTGACACCTTTGGTTTACTTCTCTCTGGACCTTAAGCTGACCGATGCATAGACATATCTTCTGAAGTTTAATGGGGGCATCTTTTCTGTTTACTGTGGATTTGTTTCCTTTATGAATTTACTATTAATGTGCCAAATTATGTTGCCTGTCTCAGAGGTCGTAATATTATTCATTCATAGTCTCCTTATAGATAGAAATAAATCTTACTCTTGTGACATATCATTCAGAATTTCTTGGTGCTGCTGGCCACGATGCAATGCATTTCCTTTGATCCAGTGATTTTTAATTTATTTCAATCCTCACAAAATTGCTGTTTACTTTGAAACTACATTTCTAGATAATGTCATATGTAAAGTTCACTGAAACGTTAGATTAGGGGAAAATATTAATTAAAAACCATGCTTGTACAATATTAGGTGATATTTTTAAAAGGAAACAAGTTTTTAAGCCAAGTAGGATAGATAGGATATATTTTAAGACACTATCAGAAGTAGAAACTGGATATTTATGTGAATAAATAGAAGCCAGGTGTTTAAGTAAAATATATAAAAGGAAAATACACAATAGCTAAAGTATCATGTATTTTGTCGATAGAATCTGACGCATCATTCAGCATTTCCACTGGGTATTGCCTGTGGTATGACATTTGCAAATAAGGACTAGAGCGAAGGCTCCTCAAACCTGGTCATAGCTGGGAACACTTCAAAAGTAGTTAGGCAGATTGTTTTAGACAAGTCTGATGTTACAAACTTGTTTGATTCTTTGCTTTGAAAAAGTGAATTTCATTTAAAAGCAATGACATTTTAACCTATTCATCTTTAACAATTTTTATAAAATT